CTATAACATGAGCCATATTATGTATAGTTTTCTGTGTAGTTCTATTTTTCTGTCTTGTGTATTTATTATTATTACTATTGTTAGGGGATGTGGCACAGTGACCTTCGGGTTTATAATGTCCCCTTCTGGGTTTATTGGCCCTATTGTGTCAATAAAAAGTATAGAACCTACTTTACAGAGTTTTATTGCCTCTTCTGTAAGAATATAGATTACTAGGAGTCTATTTCGTATATGCATTAGCGCAGGGCATCCCAACAGCACGTGTGTGTTCGACTTCTTATTCTCTTTAGAGAATCTACACTTTGCATCCCTAAGTATACCCAATCTTGTAAGATAGTTACAGTGTTTATTACAACTAAATTTTAATCATCTGTATTGGGTTTTAAAATAATAGGACTTTCTCTATAGGCCAATTACTCTGATAAGTTTTATTTATAAAATATTGCAGAAAGTAGTATTCTAAAACGCAAATATCAAATTTATTTATTTATTTACATATTTCAAGTCAATCAATCATATACGTCATTAGCATTTATAAAATCAGTGTTTGATGAATAAATTTTATTTTATATATTCATAATGAATTATTTTGTTATTATATGTAAATCCTAAATATTTAATCACAACAAACAAATTAAAGTAATCAAATATAAAATATTCCAAGTAGAAAAGTAAACATCTCATGTGATTCTCAATCGAATTCACAAATAAATTTAATAAAATTCTAATATTCCGCAACAAATAGGCTCTTCAACAAATCCTGTAGTCCTGAACTCAAACTCACTCCTTTCATTTGATATTTTATATTTACAAAAGCAATTAAATTGTGTACAATAAATCAAATATTGGCCACATTTCTGCATTTTTGTATAGATTTTGCTTACGTTTTTATAAGTGCTAGCTACAAACTTGGAGAGTTCACTTAAGAATTCATGGCCCAGAAAAGCAACAAAAAAAAAACGAAACAATAAATTTGCGAATGAACTCAAGAAATCAAATTCAAATGAAAATTTAAATTGAAAATACTCATAAGCAAGAACTGAAATGGATTCATATATTGTATAAATACAACAATAAATTACACAATACACCATAAATGTACGTATGCAGGATGAGTGTCCTTGCTGCACCATAAATAAAAGTATGGAATTACAAATATGAGCCCAGTACAAAGCACGTATACGTATGCGTATACGTATATAGTATGTAACGCAAGTAAGGCGGAAAAGCGAAGGAGTAAAAAAAGAATCCGAGGAGCTACAACAGAAATGAGGACTTCACCACTTATGTACCAACAACACTTTTATGTTTATTTTCTTGTGCTTAATTTTTTTCAAATTTTCCATGTTATCCTGACTTGGTTTTTATTCCTTGGTAACGTAAATTGTACTACAATGTTTTGTATGTGTAAATGTATTGATGTGTGTGTGTGTGTGTTGTTTTGTGTCTGGTATGTAAGGTTTCTGCATGCATTTAGTGTTACAGGACACACACAGACACACACACATACCTACATACTTTTACAATTTGTCTTGCATAGTGTGTGCATGCTTTAGATACATTTCAATTTTGATCCTTTTTTCATTCAGCAATATTTTTTGTAGTTGTAAGTTTGTCGAGTACGAGTACAATTGTATTTATATTTGTCAATTTATGCACATACACGTACAATTACTCCAGCATACTTACAAAGGATATTGTTTGCTTGTGTGTGTTTGCTTTGCAGTTGTTGCGTGAATATCCTTTGGGTAAGTAGTGTTGCTTTCTTACTGTTCCAAAAATAAGAAAAAATGATTTTCGCATACATGTGAAGTTCTTTTGTCTCTTATCGTTCATTATCTGCTGAATTTTTCCGCAATTCTACATGAATTCTTTTTATTGCACAAATTAAATAAGATAAAAAAATTAATTTACCAAAAGATTCTGTAATTCTACACTCAAGTGAAATAAATTTTTGAGACAAACATAAGTTTTCGGTTAAGCCTTTGATTTATGAATGCTTCAAGTGCAGTTCATTGTACTTTGTCTTTCCGAATATTGTATACCAGTATTTCCACATTCATACTGAATGTATAAATCATTTTTCACTGCATAAATAAATTTTAAAAAATATTTAAAAATAAAGTGTTCCAGTCACAATTTTTAAAAAAAACATTAATAAAGTATAAAATTCGTTAAAGAAATTAAATTGCAGAAAAGTTCTTTAGTAAAATTTGGATTATTTATAGTTGTCGTACTATCTTTGGTCTAAAATTTTACAAATTTTCTTTTGATATACACTCACAGACATCTCGATCAACAACTATTATCTACGGTTCCATATATCCATCTTTATAATGTCACTTTTAATCATTTTAATATATTCTTTTCATTTTCACCATTCTGCTCTTGCATCAAATACTAAAATTTTCGATGGTAGTAGTTATTGTATATGTTGAAGTCTTTTTATTAAACGGGGTCTAATGTCTATCATGTAAGCTCATGTTTGTATTGCATCAAAAAAATAATATTATTTTCTCTTACTGGTGTAAATATCTTTCCTGAAACTATCTAAAGATTTAGATAGACCTCATCCAAAAAACGCGCTAGTCTCCCGCTTGAATTAAGGCCGCTTGAATTTAAGCACAATTCTAACAATCCTTAATTTGCTTTCGTGACCCTGAAAAAAACAGGGATCCATCAAAACAGAAAACAAAACAACAGTCAGAATGAACTTCTCCAACTGAATGTACACCAAATAAAGTTAAGGTGGTTGTGTCACTCAAGAAGATCCTTCTTGCAAAAGATTTTTTTGAGATACATGCAGTATCGGTAACCTTTAAAAAAAGGTAAAACTATACCCGCGAAAATAATTCGAAACTGTTGAATAGCTTAAGCATCGGTTAAAAGCATAAATTACTGTATTCAACGAAAAAAAGTGCTCATCTATCATTGTAGTACACGGGTATACCATATATACTATCGTAATGAGATTAATTATAGTATTGGGCTACTAACTACAAACTATTACCACAACCAGCTTATTTTCTAGATTTAGCTTTATGTAATTTTTTTCTGTTTCAGAACGTAAAGAGGTTGCTCAAGGGTAAGAAATTTGGATCGAATGAAGAGATCATCACTAAATCAAACATTTATTTTATGGACCACAGGGAAACTTATTATTTGGAAAGAAAAAAAAAAATTTAAAAAACACTGAAACAA